AAATTACGTCACAAATTCTTGTAACAGACAGCAAACCACGGTGGTAGTACTCTGTCTTAAATATTCCATATTATTGATGATTAAAATTTTTTTTAATACTTAATGCTGTTTTTAATATTTTTAGGCGACTTAAATAAAATAATGTTAACAATAGGACTGTATATTTTTATTGCTACATAAAAAAAACATACATTTTTGTACGTATGGCACTTTATTAATTTTTTTTATATTATATTGTATTTAAAAAATTAAAAAAACATGTCGTGGAACACTCGGTTGGAACGAAGTTCCTTTCGTAGTATATTATAATCGATTAACGTATTAGGTATATTATTGATTAACAAATACAAATAAATGAATTACTAGCGTCTATTAAAATGAAACGTCATTTAAAATAATATTTCTTTCATGGCAATATAAGAAAAGTGGGAGGGAGACGGATATTATTCTATCTCGCATCCTTATAGCCGCCAAGGCCGTTTGCACTACGTCAGAAGGCGTCGTGACGGAATAATCTTACACTTTTTGTCGCCTAGACACCATCCTCCCAATCCGTACCGTGCGGTAAAGAACTTCGTTCCAAAAAATTCTTGTTTCTTATGTAACTAATAATTTTAATCTATCACATCTACCAAACAAATCGTGTTATATATGTCTGTTAAAAAAACGAATGAAAATAATTTAAATAAAGAATGGAAACGGCATTGGCGAACGAGAATATATGCACACGCTGTGTTGCCAACCGAATAAAAATAAATCAGGCTTGATTTATTCTAGCAGCATTGTCGCATGCTACGAGTTCGTTCCGCGCCACTGCGAGCGAGCTAGGTATACGACTCTTCTTGCATATGTGAATAACGTCAAGGATTGCTGTTTTTATTTAACACTTAAGATGGGGAACGCATTTTACAATGAATTTTAATATTTATGAACACTAAGCAAAAGTTTTTAAGTGGATTTATTTCAGACTCCTTAGAAAAAAATTGCCATTAATTATTTTTAAATAAAAGTGAATAAATAACTACTTATATTTCTATTGCTGAGGGTGGCCAGTGTCTTGTTCGATTGGATACATTTTTAAAAATTGCCCGCGAATGCATCAGCACCACATCAGCCACGACAGCCCACTGCTGGACATGGGCCTCCCCCATTAAAGGGGGTAAATGCCATACTCGCCACGCTTGGCAGGCGGGTTGGCGAGCACAGTCCTAAGTGTTATATTAACAAGGAACGCTGCTGCCTATTCCCTGAATTTGTCCCTTAGTCGGTTTTTACGACACCCACGGGAACAGTTTGGTGAGTTGTTCGAGAATAATAAGATTTAATTCGACCATTTTCTTTCTGTGATCTTACAAGTAGACTCCAAACGGATTTCCATCCTTTCGTGTTTGATGTTCCTAATATTCGCACTTAGAGTTTTGTCGTCAGTTAAAATGGCCACAGCAAACAACTAGAATGATTTGCACCTGCTACCGGAAGCAATAAGTGAAGATTTGGGACTATATAAGTGAAGAAGCAGAAGTTCTTTTCGGTGTTCCTCAGGGGAGTATACTAAGCCCTATCCTGTTTCTTATTTACATAAATGCACTCACCAAGATAAACTCAGAAAATGATCGTGTATTTTCCTACGCTGACGATTACTCTTCATGGAGACAAGTTGCAAATCAATTTATATTTATATAACAAACATGGCCATCTGAGATTGAAGAATAGAATTTGGGTATATTTATTATCAAATTTACCCAAATTCTACAAGTGACAGGGACAGCATCACCAGTGCGAGAATATCGGCTCTGCGCTCATCAACACAAATCACACAGCGTGTAGATCACGTCAATCCTTTTAAATAAAGCAGTGTGTAATGATGCATTCAATGCATCATGAATTCAAGAAATTGCTAATGATGCCTAATGTCAGACCTAAATATTTACACGAATTTCCACAGTTATCTCATTATTAAAAAAAATAACAATAATTTTATTATACGATTAGTAGTTAATCAAAATTCAAATGGCAAGTATTCCAGTCGCCAACCCGGAAATTGAATCCTTACACCAAAAGGGAATCACGTCGCTTGACCTGCGCATTTAAAGGGACAGTTGTCAAAATCTATCCAGACATTTTGACAATCCCTTGTAAAATACTCGCACAAAAGAAATCTTCAGCAAAGAAGAAGAATTCTTCTTCGTTTGTGCAGTGTTTGGATCTCATAACAAATACGAGAATAAATATATTTACTTAAAATTATAAGTTTTTTCTACTTTAGTTTAATTTCTACTTATTTAATCGAAAGCTAATTAAACTTAATAAATGATGTTCTAAACAGTTAATGTTTCCAATGAGTACACTATTGATAAGTAATTGCTGTAGTCTATAGACACCAACATCTAAATTCCATTAAAAAATCGAAATGCAAATGCGTTGTAATCCTTAAGGACGAAGATCAAATTAATATTCAGGGAATATTCCGGTTTATGCTATACGAAATGCGGCATTTCAAACTCGTATTCTGGCCTAGCGTAGTCCTTTCTCAGTGAATATTGTAACATCCAAAAATCCATATGTTCTGGAACAGTTATATGTATGCCATAAGAATTTATATCTTGAGGAATTCGAACCCGCGGCCAGCAGTCAACTGCTTAAATACTGTCGTTATCAAACCATCCAACATAATATCTTACAATATATAGCCTTAAGTTGGATTGAAATACTTAATTGCATTGTAGTTAAATACTAACCTTTGAAAGTTACAGACTAAACAAGTTTGTTATATTGATCATGAATTAATGTGCAGTTATGGTTACAACTTTTATTAGGTTGTAACCATAATTATATTCCATATATATATATCAAATATTATTGCGAACGATCGACCAGTAACGAGCATGATGTTTTCAGGAAGTAACAACGACAATACTATCAAATAATTATAAATCTGATCACAACTGTAATCAAATTAAAAACACAATCAGTTTCATTAAAGATCCACGTCTTAAGCTGTGTTGTTAAAATAGAAACTTAAAAATCAATTCGTGACCCCCCGAGGTCGGTTTGTAATAGATCAAAATTGATAACACTTTGCAGTTCGTTATTTTGATGTCCGAGACGCTCTATAAATGCCCATCAAAGCCTGTATCGATATTACTAGTAAATTCTTCTCTTTACTCTCCAGTATCAATAGATAAAGTCCTGGGATCGGCTTGCGTTTGCTCTTCCTTGTGCTAACAAAGAGTGGAGCAATATTTTAATAATTAATAGACTTTTGAAAGTCGCAGTACGAGAAAAGCAAATGGCAGACTAGGCAAGTAACTTCAATATATCAGATTTTAACTAACTCTACTAATGAATTAGCAACAGCCTCTGTAAATAATAATGACGGCCCCATGGCATAGTAGCTTCGCATTGAACGAAGCACGGAGCAAGTCGTATAGCCTACAAATAATTGTTAGGGGTCTGGATGTTTCTCCTTATGTAATTTATATTTGTAAACTGCCTCCACGATACAGAAGAAAATCCTAGTGTAGGGTAACGTTTTAAAAAAAATTGAATAGCAGTATATTCGTTTACCGTTACTGTTACATCCTATTAAAGCCCACTGCTGAACATAGGCCTCCCTCATAGATTGCCTCATACGGGAGAATATTTGCCATAGTTATCACGCTTGGCAAACGGGTTGGCAACCGCAATATTTTGTTTTTAGTCGTTATTAGGAAGACTCTGCTGCCCATCTCCTGATATGTTTCTCTCTGTCGGCTCTTACTACACCCACGGATTGTTATTGGGTTGTGGATATTCTTACACCACCACTACACGGCTTATCCGTCGATCTATAGCCGCCTAGAGTAAGATTATCTTGGAAAAATACTATGCTACTCCTAACATATTCATAGAAAAGGTTGTATTAACAAGGCTGATGATAAATTACGCCTAAACATATTAAATCACATCGTTTTATAAATATATTTCAGTTTTATTTGGTTGTTCCATTATTATAAATATTAATAACGTAAATTTTTATTTTTACACTTTTTAGCAGTAGACTGCAAAAATGGAAAAGGTTCTTAATTCGATTGTATGTTTTTTTTGTTTGATGCCTTTGTCAATTGTGAACCGATTTAATGATTCTTTTTTTATTAAATAGGTTACTTCATCGGTGAAACCAAATAAATTCTATGAAAATATTACATTCGTAAGTAAGTAAGGTCGAGAACAGATATCGATGTATGTAAGTTTCAGCACCCATTTACCGTCAAGTGGCTTGTGCCAGGGTGCATGTAAAAAATAATAAGGAATGTATTGCTATTTGAATTAGATTTAACATTTATAGTGAATATTCATCGTAATTAATTTACAATCCTTTTCCATATTTAACTATCATACCTGGTGTAATGAAGACATACTGTAGGGTGCCACGCCTCCTCTAAACGGGTAATTGAGTCATTATAGTTGCTCGCGCGCATACCTCGCTCTCCCACTATCGCCGATCGTGCGATAGTGGCTGATACTAAACATCGGGCCTCAAGTATTTCAAAACGTGCGTTAATACTAAGCAAGAGATCTCCTCATAGATTTATTCTCATATAAATCTATGAGATAGATTATGAAATAACTCGTTTCATAATCTAAAATATTAAAATCATTTGTTGGTTTATTATCTTAGAAAACAGACTAAAAATAATTAAATAATACAAGGTTATATTCTAGGGCTTTTTATAAATAATGTATCATTGTAGTCCTCAGGTGTGATAGCGACTCTATTAAACACAGCAATAATAATTATTTAAAGATTTTTATTTTATAAGTTAGATTGCGCGCAATAGCATCCAACATGAATTGCATTTTAGTACCTCGTAATCCTTTATTTACTCTTTTTTCATTTAATCAATAATTGCCAATTGTGACAGATAGAAATAAATTTGACATAAGTAATCTTAAAATAGCGCAGCTGTTACAATTGAGGCGTTTGCTTTTTCAATTTAAAACTGATTTAAATAATTCCAATGGCTGATGAAAATGCACCAGACGCGGCAGCGGACGAAACACCAGCGCCGCAACCTTCCCCATTGCCGCCTCCATCTGATGTAACCATTCCGAAAGAAGAGCAATATTATACACCGATTTTCATCATAACTGCAACTTTTGGTGCTTTGTTTATAATACTGCCATTAATTGTACGAAAAGGACCTTATAAAGGGTAAGAGAAGAAGACATACATAAGATAGCATGAGCAACTTTCTTGCCAATGAAGGCTAATAATTTTCTGCTCACCAGATGTCGCTAGCTGACATTGAGGTGAAGTTTTCGTTACACAGTGCCATTTAATTGAGAACTTAGTTTTAAATAAAAGTTTATCAGTTTCTAGAGTATTATATTAATACATAAAATAATGCATTAGTAAAATGCTCTTTAATTTTTTGCACATTTTTGACTCTTTTTAAAATTTTTCTTCATTTATGAATATCTGTCGTTTGGTTTATTTATGTTTAATCTAATTAATATAAAACATAACAAAGAGCACAGAAATAAAGCATACAATCCACCCAATATTAGAACATGTTAATGATTCTAGGTGGTAAGATCTCTTTTCTGCCTAGTCTACCACTATTAGAATATCTTAATGATTCTAGGTGGTAGGATCTCGTTTCTGCGTAGTCTACCCAATATTAGAATTAGAATGGAACGAGTAGTGATTCGCCGAGTACTCGGCCGCCGGGTACTCAGCCTAGATTGGGCCGAGTACTCTGCCGAATACTCGGCTTTAAAAAAACGCGGTAGCGGGCGGCGTGCGGTTATTTCCCTTACTAACTAGACCCAAATAGGACCGAAAAACTAATGTTTTTGCATCACAAGCTTCCCCTTTAAATTTTAAATATTAGTAATAATAATTTCCATTATAGATTCTTATGTACGTTCTAAATATTTCTGCTGCTTCTCATGTTCCTGATGTTTTAATGTGTCTAATATACTTAATAATAATGATAAAAACTGGCTTTTTGTCTTTATTTATTCTCTGGAATATAATTAAGGTCGAGTACTCGGTACTCGGCCGTTAATACACGGTGCTCGGCCGAACCCTAAAAATAGACCGAATCCACCGAGTACCGAATTCAAACCGAGTACTTGTCCCATGTCTAATTAGAATATCTTAATGATTCTAGGTTGTAGGATCTCTTTTCTTCCTAGTCTACTCAATATTATATTAAGTTAATGATTGCGGGTGGTAGGATCTCTTTTCTACCTAAGAGTCTGTCTGGATAGGTTTACCTTTTACTTATTTCTGCTGCTAAACAGCAGTATTTGCATGGCTGTATTTCGGTCTGAAGAGTAAAGAGAGCCCGTAAAGTTACAGCCTGTGAAGCATTGCATCTTAGTCCTCAGGAGTAGCAACGCATGTGTAGCCTTCTTTGTCTGAAGTTGGTCGCTTGTGTCTATGGGCTGTAGTAGCCATTCACCATCAAGTGGACTGTAACTTGTGACATTACATTATCTTACATCTATCCCCAATTAGTTAAGAATATTAAAATGCAGATGCGTTGCTACTTCTGAGGACTAAGATGGATTGCATCGTTACCATTCGGTCCGGGTCCGGTGCCCGACACTAATCATACAAGACCCTGCAGCAACATGCTGCTGCTTAACCTTACCGTTTTATATGAGCATTGTGTATTTGACGGCCTGACCCATACATAATGCGGCCATAATACAGTTGTAGCGAGGCTCTACTACTTATGTTGTATTATTATATATATGAATCTGAAAGAAGCGAAAGAACTATGTAAGGATCGTGACACTTGGCTATCTGTTTTCTCTGGCTACCCCGTCAGGGATTGTGCGTGAAGATAAGTATTATATATATTATTCCAATCCAGCGCTTAACTACAATCCCACTTCTCCACATTGTAATCAGATGGAAACACAGATGTTGGCAACTTATTCCACTCCTTTACTGTACGCATGGTGAACGATATAGCAAACCGTTTGGTTCGAATGCGCGGCAAGTCAACAACGAAAGGGTAGAGACTGGCTGAACGTCTTTATAATAAATCTCTTACATATCACTGTAATTTTCTTAATTATTCCTCTCTATTTCAATTGTTTATTTACTTATATATATTTCGTTAGAAAAATTGTAAATTTTAACCCTTTACCTGTTAATTCGTAACATTCTCAAAATAAAAATGAAACATATTTTCTACTAGGCTGTTGGTGTTTTCTGTTATCCTTGTTTTTTTTTTCTTTCAGACTCCTTAGATGCTGTATTATGCTGTCGCTCTTTTGCATGTGGATTTTGTAAGTTCTAGTCAGATTATTAGTGTGTAATGTTTATTTAACAAAACTTTTTATCCCGAGAAATTGTGCAATTTGATCACCAGTTTCCTTGCTGATCGGAGCATCAAGGTTGTACTAGACGGTGCATGCTCTGATTACTAGCCTATTAATGCTGGTGTTCCACAAGGCTGCGTGCTATCACCAACGCTGTTTTGTTTTTTGCATATCAATGATATGTTGCAAACTGCTAATATTCATTGCTATGCAGACGACAGCACTGGTGATGCCTTATACACCGGCCGTGCCAATATTTCTCAGGAAAACGTTGCCGAATACCGGGACAAAATTGTATCTGAAGTCGAGTCTTTGATGAACAAAGTCTCGGATTGAGGGCGACTAAATCTAGTCCAGTTTAATCCCCAGAAGACACAAGTTTGCGCGTTTACCGCTAAAAAGAACCCCTTTGTCGTATCTCCTCAGTTTCAAGGCACTCCCCTTGCTGCCTCAGCCAGAATCGGAATCCTCGGCGTCGACATATCGAATAGTGTGCAGTTTTTTTACAGCGTGGTCACTTGGAATAGGGAATGCCAAATTATAGCGAAATTATTAGCGTGAATGGGTCGGCTCGACCAGGGAAGGACCACGCTCTCACAGAATACCAGCGTAAAATAGCAGCCTAATTCTGCTGTGTTTCGTATGGTGAGTGTAGAGAACTGGCGACCCATTTTACTGGAAAAGAGACATTCCATCTTAGTCCTCACGGGTGACAACGTATCTGCATTTTGATTCACAAACGAAGATAGATGTAGATGTCTATGGGCCACAGCAACCACTTACCATCAGGTGGACTGCGTGCTCGTTTTTCACCCTTATTCTATAAAAAAAGACAGTATTTCATGCCGGCACAAAGCGCAAGTTCGGCCTCACATAGAATAATGTTCTCATCTCTGGGCCGGGGTACCCCAGTGCCAGCTCCTTCCACTTGACCGCATCCAGCGCAGAGCGGCTCGAATCGTCGACGAACGAGTTCTTTCTGATCGGCTCGATTCACTGGCGCTGCGTAGGGATGTTGCATCCCTTTGCATTTTCTGTCGAATCTACTACGGGAAGTGCTCTGAGGAATTGGTCGGATCTATTCCAGCCGCCAAATTTCACGAACGCACATCGTGTCAAAATTCACGATACCATCCTCACCATCTGGATGCTTGGCGGTTCACCACTGTGCGTTTTACTAGGAGTTTCTTCCTCGTACAACTTCTCTGTGGAATTGTTTACCACCAGCGATTTTTCCGGACCGATACGACTTAGGTACCTTCAAGAAAAGAGCTTACACCTTTCTAAAAGGCCGGCAACGCACCTGCAATTCGCCTGGTGTTGCGGTTGTTCATAGGCGGCGGTAGTCACATACCATCAGGTGAGCCGCATGCTCGTCTGTCCCCTCTTCTATAAAAAATTAACATGTATTTATTTCTGTCGCCGTTGTGTTTATGAATGCTGTGTTGGCGAATTTCACAAGTCTTCGAAATATTTTTTTCTTATTTCTCAGACATGCAGGTTTCCTTACGATGTTATGCTTCACCGATAAATCAGCACTTAAAATTGCAATTAAAATTTTCATTTGTGCCGGCGGAGATCGAACTCGGGCTGCTTGCGTACTGTGAAAGAATAATTTGCTAGCATTTGTCTTTCCATCTGAGGCGTTGTTGACGCCGCAAAGGGGCGAACTTCAATTATTCAACAAATTACAGGAGAGTAAGAAAATATTTATTATGCCCCGATTACTAGCTTTTTTTTCATTAGAAAATTAATCTTAATAATAAATAAATAAGTTCGTTTTCAGTTGGGTGACCATTTATATATCACAAATGAATCCTCTATTGGGACCACGCATGCGCAACACTACCGTCGCCTGGTTGGCGCATAAAATAGTAAGAAAACTCCATATTATCTACCTTCTTTTTTCAAGTGAGAAAACTCGTAAGTATTAGTAGGTATACGTTAGTACGTAGCAGGAGTTTTAGCAAATTTATGCACACTAAATTAAAGAAGCGAATGTTTTGAATTAAAGTTTTACATTTTAAATAAATAACTTTTTAAATAAGTAAAAAACTAAAATCGAATTTATTGGTGTTGGCTGTTTAACCAATACATAAAAACTTTATTAGTTCTAACTCGTAATAATCTACACTTAGGTTTGGGTTTTTTCGTAGAGCTCTTAAGAGGCGACAGAGGGAAACAAACGAGGATATAGGCGTCTTCCTAATAACAACTTAAAATAAAAATAAATCAATATGAATACCAATAAATATGAAGCAATCTATGGGGAGGATATCTATCTAGGAGGATATATGTTCAGCAGTGGACTTTTGATACGCTGTTGCGGTAAAGGCTTGGGTTTTTTTTTATCAAACTAAGGTGACAAACAACTTACAGTCCACCTAATCATAAGTGGCTACTGCAGTCCTTGAACACCTGCATCCACCTACGAACATAGAAAACCCCTTTTATCCTCTAGGTGGCCACCATTCATGACGTGAAGTGATTTTGGCGATTTTTCTTCCCCAGGGGAGGCCCCTGGTGAGATGTCGTGAGATTTTTCTACCCCAGGGCAGGCCCCTGGTGAGATTTTTCAGAATGCGTATTTTTAGTGTAAAGAAAAAACGTAATTTGCTTGATTATTTTTATTTAATTTGTGGAGTTTGCATAGCCGTGAAAACTATTATTGTGTAAGATTTAGCCATATTTGACTTAATTTACATACATACATATCATCACGCCTCTTTCCCGTAGGGGTAGGCAGAGACCAGCTCTTTCCACTTGCTACGATCCTTACATACTTGTTTTGCTTCGTCCACTTTCATTATTCCCTTCATACATGCTCTACGGTTTAGGGTACTCTTGACCTGGCCTTTTTTCAAGACGTCCCTGATTTGGTCTAGAAATGTCCGCCTAGGTCTACCCCTTCCAACACTTTCATTCACACTCGCCTTATACACTTTTTTCGTCAATCGTTCTTCATTCATTCTCTCGACATGGCCAAACCATCTCAGCATACCTTTCTCAATTTATTTTATTTTATTTTATTTTATTTTTATTTGCTTGGAAAACTTACAGCTAATTTACAAAAATAATATAATTATAACAAAAATGAAGGCCATTTACAAGTTTTCACTTATATAATACTTTATATGACAAGAGTGTGTCAGAAGAGATATAGTAACAGTATACTTAAATATAAATTACATTATCAAAAAGAAAAGAAGTTGTTAGAAAGTAAACGCCTAAGTTGGATAACGCTGGAATGAAATAAATCAATATCCACATTGTGAGTATGTGCTATAGCATTAAAAGATCTGCATGATCGAATAATAAAAGAGTTTTTCCTGTAATTACTTTTCACGCATGGTACATATAAAAGTGTAGGTTTCCGCAAACCAGATGATGAGGTGTGTAAACCTATTTTACTTAATAGTTCAGGACAATCAATATTACCATTCATAATTTTAAAGAGGAAGGAGAGATCTGCAATATTTCTACGCTCATATAAAGGTAATATGTGATTTTTTTTACATCGAAGAGTATAGCTGGGTATAAACTTTTTTGATTTAAATTGAAGAAAACGCAAAAATCTTTTTTGTATGCGCTCTATCCTATCCACATATTCATTATATTTTGGATTCCAAATTTCAGAACCATATTCCAAATGGCTGCGTACAAAAGCGCAATATAGAATTTTGAAGGTTTTTATGCTTTTAAAATCTGCCGATAACCTTAATATGAAACCCAGCGCTTTGTTAGCCTTTGTAACGATGTTATCAACGTGATTGTCAAACAGCAATTTAGAGTCAAAAGTAACACCGAGATCTTTGATAGTGCTGGTTCTATTTATAGAAATATGGTTTAATTTATAATTATAAATTATAGGATTAGGTTTACGAGTAAATGAGCAGATAAAACATTTGGAAACATTCAGATCGAGTTTATTGTTAGAACAGTATGCTTCTAAATTGAAGAGATCCTTTTGAAGGCTAGAACAACTTTCCAAACTTGTAATAGGACATAAGATTTTCATATCGTCAGCGTAAAGAATAATCTTGGAATTTTTAAAACACGTGTCGATATCATTGATAAAAATTAAGAAGAGCAAGGGCCCCAATAGGGATCCTTGTGGTACGCCAGACGATATATGGATTGCAGACGAACGATATCCACCAAGGACGACAGATTGACTTCGATTTCTGATGTATGACGTAAACCATCGGAATAAGTCCCCCCTGATACCCATTGCAAGGAGTTTACGTAAAAGAATTAAATGATCGATTCTGTCGAATGCTTTGCAGTAGTCTGTATAGACTACATCTACTTGTGCTGGTTTAGACATAAAGCTAGTTAGATAGTCGGAACAAATAACAAGGTTTGACACGGTAGATCTGTTTTTTAAGAAACCATGTTGATTTTCACTAAATGAGTGATAATAATTCAATTTTTGTCACTACATCTTCTTTCAGACCACAACGTTTCCTTATCTCACTATTTCTTATCCTGTCACTCAGTTTAACTCCTATCATACTTCTTAATGCTCTCATCTCAACTGCATTTATTCTGCTTTCATGTTTCTTCTGCCATACCCAAGTTTCACTTCCGTACATGAGTGTCGGAACCAACACCCCCTCATGCACAGCCAAACGAGCCTTGTTAGACACCTTCCGACTGCTCATAAAGGAGTGCAAAGCTCCATTCACCATGTTTCCTGCATTCACTCTTCTTTCGATATCACTCTCACACTTTCCATCTCTTGTAAACTTTGAACCCAGATACACAAACTCTTTCACCTGTTCAATTTGTTCATCTTCAATCACAATGTTGCAGTCTGTCACTGCCTCATCTTTTTCAAACACCATCACTTTCGTCTTCCTTACATTCATCTTCATTCCCTTTCTAACAAAAGCTCCACTCATAGCAGTTACCATCTCCTGCAACTCCTCGGCCGAAGACGCAAGTAATACTTGGTCATCAGCATAGAGAAAACATTTGACGAGTAACTCATTCATTCTCAACCCACTTTCATTCTCTTTTAAATCTGTCAAACAATTGTCCATGAACAGATTAAACAGCCACGGTGACGCTACACATCCCTGTCTAACACCTTTTTCGATATTAAACCATTCAGTGTATGCCCCGTTTATCCTTACACAAGCACTAGAATCCCTATAAAGAGATTGCATTGCTCGTATGAGGATACTGCTCACACCGTTCACGGACAGTGCTGACCACAATTCATTCCTCACCACTCTATCATAGGCCTTTTCTAGATCTACGAACGCGCAGTAGACTTTCTTGTTTTTAGCCAAATACTTTTCGGCTATGCACCGCAAAGAAAAGACCTGATCCGTACATCCCATTCCCTTTCTAAATCCCGCTTGTGCATCCCATACTTTCTTGTCTGTTTCATTCACAATCCTTTCAATCAACACTTTCGCATACAATTTACCGACGACGCTGAGAAGGCTTATACCGCGGTAATTTATGCAGTCCTGCCGTGACCCTTTTCCCTTATTCAATGGCACGATTACGGCTTTGCACCAGTCTCCCGGTACTTGCCCATTTCGCCAGCACAGATTGAAAAGGCGGTACAGCTGACTAGCCACCAGGCCCTGTCCAGCCCTCAGCATCTCGACGGTAATCCTGTCATACCCTGCAGCCTTACCTAATCTCATACTTTTCAACGCTTTCACTATTTCATCCATGCTTATCTCATTTTCATCAACATTTATATTTGTTTCTGTGGAAGATGGCAGATGCTGTACCTGCACTTCCTCTCTTTCAAACAAACTTTCAAAATACTCTTTCCATCTCTTTAACACACATTCTTCTCCTTTTATAATGCTCCCATCTTGACTCCTGATTGTACTCAGCTCAGAGGTAGAAGTTTTTCCTCTGGCTGTTTTGATGGTTTTCCAGAAAAACTTAATGTTTGACTGGAAATCTTCAGTGAGTCTTCTATCGAAATCATCCTTTCGTTCTTCTTTCTTTCTAGACACAATTTCTTTCGCTGCTGTTTTCAATCTTTTATACTTCGTTCTTGCTTCCTTTATCTCGTCATCCGTTGCCTTTTGAACTTTTTGGTTAGCTTTTGTTGCTAACCAATCCAACCACGCTTTCTTCTTTTCTTGCACAACCTTTTGTACATCTTTATCCATCCACACGTTATCTTATTCTATATCTTATTCTATATTCTTTTAGCTACCCCGCATACCTCAATAGCAACATTTACGACCCCTTTCTTAAATGTCTCCCACAATATCTTCAATCACTCCTATCTCTTCTATCTCTTTAAAACTTTCTTTCAGTTTCTCTACATACTCGTCTTTCTTTTCTTTTTCTTGTAGATTTTCCACTTTTACTCTGTCCAAAACACTCGTAGGCTCGGCCACTCGGTGTCGCCACCGTTTAAAGAGGCCACGCATTCGGGCTATGACCAGGAAGTGGTCTGTGTCGAGGCCTACACCGCGGTATGCCCGAGTGTCTAGCACTTTCTTCCTCAGTCTTTCATCCACAATTACAAAATCAATCATACTTCTAGACTCACCCTCATCTCTTGTATACAAATGGATCTTTTTGTGGTCAAACATTGTGTTGGCCACACACAGATTCCATTCCAAGCATACTTCAAGCAGGCTTCTCCCATTGTCATTCACTCTCTCGTCCCCAAACGTACCCAGAACTCCTTCATACCCATCACGCTTTACTCCAACCCATCCATTAAAGTCCCCTAACATCACGATCCGTTCATTTTCTCCGCATTTATTCAAGACCTCTCTCATGCTATCCCAAAATTCCTCTCTCTCTTGTTGTGTTTTTAATGACCCACCTCCACGCAGATCCGTTGGTGCATAGACCCCAAGGATAAATAAGCGAGTGAGTCCGACTTTTAACCTAATCCAGAGGAGTCTTGGGCTTATACATTCATGCTCCATCACACATTCAA